GCTAGAATTTATGGCTGTTCAAAGTTGGCCAAAAATTCACATTTTCCATACTTAGCCAAAATTTCCAAAACTTTAAAATTCTTTCCAAAAATGAAAATTTCCAATTCTAAGCCTCTTCAATTATTTCATATTGCCGGATGTTACACTTCTGGCCAAGGATCTGAAGCTCGTCCCCTCCCCTCATATCTTCAGCGTATTCCTTAATATTGAGAGCAGAATCTTCAAGTTGAGGGCTCCTTACAAGTTTGATAATTTTCAATGAATAAATATCCCCAAAACTAGGCGGAATCTCCTCAAGCTTACGACATCTCCGCAGTTTTAATTTCTCAAGCTTGGGAAAGGATTCCTCTTCAACCTCCCACTTGGAAAGAGTCACTTGATTCAACTTCAATAATTTGAGATTCTCAAAGGGGTCTTCCTCCCCCATGTTCCATTCTTCCCCATGGATGATTGTATCATAAAGGGACAACTCTTCAAGTTTGGGTAGTCTCGCTATTGTTGATAGTGAATCGGATGTCAGAGGAAAGTCATACAAGCACAATTTTTTCAAACTCGAAGGGAAGTGAAAATCCCATGGATGATTTATGGCTGCAGAGGACCGACTATCATTTGTGTTTGATCTTTCAAAATCTACAGTGAGGTCTACTAGTTCAGTTAGGAAATCCAATTTCCGGAACCAATATTGCTCTATTGAATAATCCCATGATTACTTTAGAACAAATGAAAGTTATTATAGATTGGGAAGCCTTTTGAAAATATCATCTGTATCTTTCCAATACGAAAGCACGAGTTAATGTAATAATGTAACCTTCTCTAACTTTGTGTCCTCTGCTATCAGTATTGATTCATCTGCATCCATATCAAAGAAAGAACAAGTAGTCGTTATGAGCACTCGCAACTTTACAAGATCCCAAATTCTCGGTAATAGTATCAAGGTTGATTCTTCGTTATCCACCATCAAGATTTCTAGATTCCACAGGTTTGAGAAAGACAAAGGCAGAGATTTAACTTGTGTCCCAATTCTTAAGTACCTCAAATGATTCAACATGCATATTTCATTCAGCAAAGAATCATTCACCATGATAAAAGAGGGATCCAGGTCCAAGTATCTAAGAAGCCTCAAGTGTCTTAGATGAAATGTTTCAGAAACCAGAATGCCTTTTCTTATTTGAATCAAACAGGACCAAATTGTTATAATAGCTGTTATAATCAATGGTCACTATACGTGGCATCAAATCTGAAGAAGAAGATGGTGTACTTGAACTTATCAATTCAACCAACTTTTCCTCTCTTGCTTTTATCAAACAAAAGTCATGCACAAGATCATGAAGTTGACAACTCGGTTCATCACCTATCTCATTGAAAAGAGTTACCAAGCTACTGGAAATTAAGTTATCCAAACCAACCTTCATCACTTCTTCCACACTGTTCGTCTCTGTCTGTTCCACAAGTCCTTCAGCATGCCAAAAATCTTTCAGCGCAAGGATTATCATTGGACTGTCCTTTGGAAACCTTGCAAGGTAAAGCAAGCATGGCTTCAGGTGATGTGGTAAATGGTCATAACTTAATTCTATAACTTTCATCACTTCTACTTCACTATTCAAAATAAAAGAACTCACATTATTTTGAACTTCAAGCCACACAATCCTTTTCGTTTCCCTCCATGCAATGACTCCAGCAATCAGATCAGCCACCAAAGGAAGCCCTTTACAATTTTCGGCTATTTCTTTACCAACATCTAATAGGTCATCAGGGCAACTCTCGTTTCCAAATGCCCTTTTCTCTAATAACTCCCAACTTTCTTCTGATCTTAGCAATCGAAGGTTAAGAGGAGCAGTGTAGTGCTTTCCATGCAAAGCCACTTCTTTTTCTCGAGTTGTCAAAATAATTCTACTTCCTTTCGTACCATTAGGAAAAGGTCTTGTTAACTCATCCCATGTTGCAGTATCCCACACGTCATCTAAGACAATAAGATACCTCTTTCCAATCAGTTGTTTCCGTAGTTTATCAACAACATCAATATTCTCACTCAATTTTGAATGTGAGTCACTAACTTGATAGAATATTTTATCCAACAACTTCTTCTCGTCATATCCTTGGTCGACCGTGCACCATGCACAAAGGTCGAAATGGCTAGAAACTGATTTATCATTGTATACTTTGTACGCCAAAGTAGTTTTACCTGAACCCGGCGATACCAGTGATCGAAATGACATCTAGATCTACTGGTCCACTGGTGAGCTTTCTAAGTATCAAGTT